AGCACTGCACGACCTGGGCATGCTCGAGCAACGGCCCCCACTCGTGCTCGGGCTGTGACAACCCCGTGTGCAGCCCTCTGCCCCACACTCTGCCTCCGGCATGACATACCTGGGTGCAGAGTGGCTACAATAAACTCCACCATTCTCAGGCCTGGCCCCGAATTGCCTCAGAGCAAACGCACAGTTTCAATTATTTATTTTCTGATTATTAGGGTACTACCAAACTCGATTCACGACTTCTTGACCATGGCTAATACTTTTATTATACAAATACGATCAAAAGTAGCATTTTCAGACTATTGAATGGGGGTGAATGAGGCCAAAATTCACTTCTGGAAATGTCACATCACGGTATATGCGTGCGTGCTATGTCAGAACTTTTTTTTACATAATTTTGTCATTTCCATGTGTTGTATGTGTTATCAGGAGATATCAGTCCCTGCAAAAGGACATCATGCTTGGTAAAGTGGAGGGTGAGCAAAACAGAGGAAGACACTCAGTGAGATGGATTGACACAGTGGCTCAACAATGGGCTCAAGCATAACAAGGAACGTGAGGATGGTGCAGGACTAGGCAGTGTTTCCTTCTGTTGTACATAGGGTCCTATGAGTCAGAACCAACTCGATGGCACCTAACGACCTATATGTGTGCACGTTATTTATGTGGGCACGCTATTTGCGAAAAGCATGGTATCACCTAAAGTATAAAATATACGAGTCCATGCTAATCACAGAATGGGTATTAAATGACAATAAGGAGGTAATGTCATAGACAGATACTGATATATTTGTGGGTAATATGACATACTCCAGCAAAAATAAGTGGAAGAATAGATAAAACAGGAATGGCAGAAAGCTGATGATTGTTGACAGGGTAATGGATATTAATAGTTTGTTGTACTATCTTCTCTACTTTTCTGTGTATTTTACCACTTCTATTATAAAAAGTTTAAAGTCACAAAAAGGAGAAAAAAACGAATCATCCAGATTGGAGTAGAGTACAACAGCAAAAAATCAGCGTTCACATTCGCAGGTCAATGTACAGTAAAAGAAAAAAAAAGATGTGGGAATGAAGTTTAAAACTGAACTGTGGGATTATAAATGGTATCCCATTAAACCATTTTAATCACATATGCCCTTTAGTTCAGTGATTCACTGTATGATTAACTTAACTGAAAACCAAAACCGAACCAATCCCATCGTCGAGTCGATTCTGACTCACAGCAACCCCGTATGACAGAGCAGAACCGTCCCATAAGGTTTCCAAGGCTGTGATCTTTACGGATGCAGGCTGCCGCATCTTTCTCCTGTAGAGTGGCTGGTGGGTTTGAACCACCAACCTTTCGGTTAGCAGCCGAGCGCTTTAACCACTGTGCCACCAGGGCACCTAACTTAACTGAGGACATACACAATTTTAGAATTAACCCATATCCTGTTTTGTAAATTTCTGAAATTCGTCCACCTGTGTAATAGGTATCGCACTTTTTAGAGAATGCCAGATGGGTGGTTCAGGCGCTCATAAAAATGTTAGGCATT